TTGTTTACTCTTAGAAACTTAAAGTAACTCATCTTAATATGCCTTCTTTTTTCAATTTACCATAAAGATAGATAGACTGATTGATTGATTGATTGATTCACATAAAGATAGATAAATAGACAGATTCTTTCGCATGAATATAGATAAATTCACTTGAAGATAGATAGATAAATCGTTTCACATGAATATAAATTAATGCGAATGTAGATAGATAGATAGATAATCTTGGCCCCTGTGACCTTTGCATACCGTTCAAGCGCGTTCTGAACCACTTCAATGTCGCTGCGGCATTACACGAAAATGGATGCGTCATCGGCGCATGCGGAAACCCTACCTCGAGCCCCACCAGGGACAGCGATTCCACGTAGGGCCGGACTGCACGCCCTTTCCCTCAGCCAGCGAAGGAGAGGCTCCAACGCCAAATCATAAAGTAGAGGCAACAGTGGCCAAGCCTCACGAATCGACCGAGGCAGCGCGACCGCTGTCCGTTCACCTGTACCACAGCACTGGGGGAGCGATACAGGAGGCTAATCCACTTGCAGAAGTCGGTTTCGATTCCGGTGGCCTGCAGAACAGCAGCCAGATATTGATGGTCGACCCTATCAAATGCTTTGGACTGATCCAAATTGATCAGCGCGGCTTGCTCTTCGTCTTTAACATCATTTAGGATCGTGTGGATCAGATGCAGGTTGCGCTGAATTGTTCGCCCCTTCACAGCACAAGTCTGATGGGGTCCCAACAGACTCTCGGCAACCGATTGCAAAGATCTTGGCCAAAATCTTTAACTCTGTGTTTAGCAGATTTATGGGCCTGTAATCATCTAAATCCCGCCCACCATCCTTACCCTTTTTCAACAGCGTGATCACACCCCTGGTGATCCGACTGGGGATGGACCTCTGCCGGAACCGGTTGCTGAATACGACAGTCAAAATCGGCACAAAGATGTGCGACAGCCTCAAGTACAATTCATAGGTTAAACCATCAAGTCTCGGAGACTTGCCACTGCCGACCATCTTCAATGCCATTTAGACTTCGCCCTCCGTGGTCTCACCCTCGCAGCTAGCTGCTTCAGTCAGCTAAATAGCTGCGAAATTCATCGTCCCTAAGACTATGCTCTTTGGTAAACCGGCTCTCGAAATGCTGCCGAAACGCCTCGCACATGTCGTCAGTCGAGTACGACCCTTCGGGGTTTTAACTTCATGAATGTAACACTCGAAACCTCGACGGATCTCTTCCTTGAGCAATTGTGTGTCCATGTTCACAGCTTCGTTAGACATCTTGTTTAACCTATGTCTAACTACCCGACCATGATAAGGCTCGCTAGCCGCGCACTCTCTAGGAAGTCTCCCTGCACCCAGCCTCCGACCGGGACAGACTATCTTTAAGTGTCTTCACCTTATCTAGTGCGAGCCGCTGGCTATATTCGGTGGTGAAAGACTTAATCCTATCCTTAATCCTCTCCCATCACATATTCCCAATACCCACCCCCACTAGTTCCCACTGTACTCGTCTAATTAGCTGTTGCTGGAAATCCGGCCTGTCCAGAAAAGACAGATTGAACTTTCAGTGTCCAGCCATTTTAGGCCTAGCATCTAACGCTATCCGGGCAAAGACGAGTATATGGACCGAATAGCCTAACCAGTGGAACATGTGACAATCTAGCAACTCTATATCCAGGTCCACATTTCCCGCCTAGAGTGATCGATCCGGTATCGATAGTCGATCAGATCAACCAGACTACGATCACCCAATGACCACCCGCTAGCTCCCCGCCCCTGTCTATCTTGGGGTCCAGGATGGCATTTCAGTCCCCCACTAAGACTAAGCGCAAAGAATCGACTAGGAATGGCCCTAAATGCCGAAAAAACAAGAACGCCCCCGCCCCTCCCACGATCGTTGGGCGCATAAACCGCAACTATCCGAAACGAACTACTATTCACGACCGAAAGTATCGACGTGGACAATGTCCACCCTCGCAACCAGGGTACGTTTAAACAGCAAAGGAAAGACCTCTGGCGGGCTGGTCCACGTATGCTGAATAGACAACATAGTCGCTAGACAGCACACGCGCACAAACCTCGCAAGTAAAGTGCGTCTCCTGGATCGCAGCTACATCTACGCCGAAGGACAAGAGATCACGAAGCAGGTAGGCAGCCTTACTGCGATCCATCAAGCCCCTCGCATTCAAACTAGCTGTCTTGAGAGACATTTTTCAAGTTGATTCCCCTAGTCACAGACCGGACGGAAATCCGCGGATGAAAGGACACCGACGGATTGTCTCAGGCTCCTTGTCCATATCTCTGTTGTCATGCAACCATCTCAGACAATACCGCCAACGTCCGAGGGAGAGGTTAGTTTTAATGCCCTATATAATGAAGGATAGAGAATTACTGGGACCGTCCCCGCACAATATTTCTGTAGCATTCTTAGGTCCGGAATTCTCATCTCCACCATACGAATCTCCGGAAAGGCATCTTTTGCTTCCTGTAGATGATCCCACTCTATCAGATTTCGGCCTGTGCTCTTTATCTACGTTATTACACCAGCAACCATGGTGAAATTTCGGTGATATTCTATAGCAAGTTCGTCTAATGACGCCATTTTCAACAAAGGCTTCGACAACGCTCTCTTTTGCTTCGACATGTTTTTCCATTGCTCGCTTGTCTACACAACAAGACCTTACTCCACTCTGGAATTTATTCTTAAGAGAAGGACTCAGCTGGAAGGTGCTGGGCATTGGGGACTTACTGGGTGTTGTGCAAAGGGCGTATTGGGAGGAGTGGAAATGTCGTCGGCTGCAGTGGTATTGGTAGTGGGTGTTTGATGAGGAGGTGTATTTGGAATGGAGGACAGTGGTGCTTTCAGAGGAGAAGACTTCTTGTGGTAATTTCTTCCTACTTCTTGACTGGCGAAGCCGGGGCAAATTGAGTCTTGGATTTGGTCGAGCCTTTTGGGGTTTCAGCTCTCTTGTCTTTTTTATTTATTTTTTTCCCCCCCCTTTCTTCTTCTACTTGCTCTCTCCCTCTTTTCAGTGAAGACGACCGAGGTGGAGGCACCTCCTACATTTCTGCTTTCCCTGCATCCCGCTGCTGCTGCTACTGCTGCTGCTGAAGGGAAGTGGTGGTACCTTTGGATACCTTTCATAACGACTTCCATCCACTCTCTCGTTTTCTTTGTTGTCTTTGCTCTTGAATATGATGTTACTGCTTTTTCTTCATTTTTCTTTTTGGGTTGTGGTTCAGGATTTCGTCCTGGGCAAGCGTTCGAGAAATGTCTCGCAGCCCTACAAGCCAAACAAAGTGCTTTCTGTTTAAAGTGATTGCGATTTCAATATCGCCTGTGGCTATTCATGCCTTACTTTTAATAGGGTAGACGTTGGAGAAAAAGCCAAGATGGTCTTCAGATATGAATAGTGGCACTCTATGTAGAGTCATCTTTGCTTTTCTAGTTTCCATGTATTCAGAAGTTGTCAGAATACAGCCTGCCAGCGATTTAGCTTTCTCTTCTGTAGGTAATAAAATGTCCCACATTGACCTACTTTTTCTTGCTAGAATTTGGGCTGCAATTTGAAGCCTTTTCAGGGCCTACTCCATCACATCCCTATTCACAATATTTAGCTTCGGAATCTTGGGGTCCGTTGTTACTAAAGACATTGTCTGTGTATTCACCGAATCCAGTACAGACGTCACCGGTAACAATTCATTTCCATTAACAAATGGTGCAAACTTGCCTTTTAGTTTGTTTTTTTTTTTTTAAATATTCTGGCCCTTTTTGTGGAGTATATCCTTTGCCCATGCTAAAGGGGTTACTTCAGTAGGGGAAGAATTATGAGATTCGGGTCCGCCATGCTGTTAGCGTATTCTCGTCACCGCACACAATGTCAACAATACACGGAATTCAGACAACAAGACGACAATAAATGTAACAACAAATACTTAAGACGGTGGCAAACATAAATAACTTCACAGAATGTCCAAAGAAACTTTGAAATATTTTGGACAACTCGAAGTAAACTCAACAGAAAATGTATTTAGATAGATAGATAGATAGATAGATAGATAGATAGATAGATAGATAGTTTCACCTGAAGATAGATATATACATTTTCACCTGAAGACAGAAAAATAAATAAATACATTGATTTATAAATTGATAGATAGATAGAGACAGTTCCACATGAAAATATATAGATATATTGTTTCACATGAATATAGATAGCTCGCTAGCTAGCTAGCTAGCTATTTCCACATGAATATAGATAGATTCATGTGAAGATAGATAGATAGATTGTTTCACATGAATACAAATAGTTTCACATAAAGATCAATTTCCGTAAAGATAGATAGATAGATAGATAGATAGATAGATAGATAGATTGTTTCATCTGAAGATAGATACATACATACATGTATACATACATACATTGATTGATAGATTGATTGGTTCATATATATATATATATATATATATATATATATATGTAGATAGATAGATAGATAGATAGATAGATTTTTTTCACATGCATATAGACTGATAGTTTCGCAAAACGTTAGATATATGGATGGCCTCGCATCAATATACTTAGATATATTCACATGAATATATATATATATATATATATATATATAGATAGATAGATAGATAGATAGATAGATAGATAGTATTTATCAATCCACCCACGGGGATCGAATGTGGCACAAGTCCTTTTTAATGTGGGTATCTCTGAGGCCCGTAGGCCCAGCCAAAAATAAATAACCATCCAAACCCGCCGAGGCGGGCCAGTTCAAATCAACCTCCCCAACGAAACCCTACCCTTCGGCGGAGCTTCGTCTGGGTTCCTCTCTGCAAGCAGAGAGTTCGACAGACACCGACCCGGCAGCTCACAAAGCGCAGATACTACACTTTGATCCTAGCCACTGGGCCGAGCGGGTATTCTTTTTATAGATAGATAGATTGTTACACATGAGTGTAAATAGAGAGTTCCTCGAGAATATATATTCCTATGAAGATAGATAGATAGATAGATAGATTATGAACCACACCCTATGTACTCGAAGATGGTGTTTATCAATCCACCCACGGGGATCGAATGTGGCACAAGGCCTTTTTAATGTGGGTATGTCTGAGCCCGTAGGCCCAGCCAAAAATAAAACCCATCTAAACCCGTCCAAGCGGGCTAGTTCCGTCAACCTCCCACAACGAAACCCCACCCTTCGGCAGAGCTTCGTCCGGGTTCCCCTCTGCAAGCAGAGAGTTCGACAGACACCCGACCCGGCAGCTCACAAAGCGCAGATACTACACTTTGATCCTAGCCACCGGGCCGAGCGGGTATTCTTTTTATAGATAGATAGATACACATGAGTATAAATAGAGGGTTCCTGTAGAATATATATTCCTATGAAGATAGATAGATAGATAGATAGATAGATAGATAGTTTCACCTGAAGATAGATAGATAATTTGAACAGACTGATAGATAGATAGATAGATAGATAGATACATTTTTCACCTGAAGACAGAAAAATAGATAGATACATTGATTTATAAATTGATTGATTCATAGATAGATAGATAGATAGATAGATAGATAGATAGATAGATTCACATGAAGATAGAGACAGTTTCACATGAATATAGATAGTTTCACATGAAAATAGATAAAATAGATAGATATATTGATATATTGTTTCACATGAATATAGATAGCTCGCTAGCTAGCTATTTCCACATGAATATAGATAGATTCCTGTGAAGATAGATAGATAGATAGATAGATATGAAGATTATGAACCAACCCTATGTACTCGAACATGAATGTTCACCTTGCTCTGATTCCATTTTTATTGATTCTCTGACCTAACAGTTGAAATGTGTCTGGTTTATCATTTTGGTTAAAGCGTTTGTTTTCAGTGTTCAAGTTCATAATTTCGAACTGTGTTCCTCAATTCAAATTTTAGAAAATCACATTTATGCTACCACTTGGGTTTCGCCCCTGCGTTATCCTATGGCTTTGTGCCAGACTTAACTTATTAAATATCTACATAGACAAATTTATCGTAATTCTACGTTCATTTATTATACTTAAATTATCTTCCTTTTTATCAGGCACTAAGAATGAGCAATTCTCTTCATTTCTGTCCTTCCAGCGATTAGAATTTCAAGCTCAACAACTGGAAGACTGCGATATACCAAACCTCTCACCTGCTGGATTCCAACAAGCCTTAACGACTCACCACTGGCTTCAGATTTATCAGAAGATAATCGAAAATACTTCTATGGATATTTCAGCAGAATATCAGTGGTCATACCAATATAAAACTGAACTTAATTTGAATAAGGGATATATATATATATATATATATATATATATATATATATATATATATATATATATATATTTGAATAAAAGACAGACCACGTTAAGATTTCATGTAGTAGGCTATTTCACCATAACCCCTTTAACAGGGTTCTGGATCATCAGACGTTACTTCCAAAAGCTGAAATGAAAAATGATCCAGAAGCCTGTTAAAGGGGTTATGGTGAAATAGCTTATTACATGGAATCTTAAGGTGGTCTGTCTTTTATTCAAACATATCTGCTCTGAATTTTACATTGAGCTCTCTGGATATCATCCTCCTCAGGTCTACCCATACGGATTACCTAAATTTGCTTAAACTATATATATATATATATATATATATATATATATATATATATATATATATATAAGTGAACATAGAAGTCAACACTTAGAGGCGACAGTCTGTTTCATGCTACGTGGCCTGACGATTGCATATAGCATGAAACAGACTCTGACTGACTGACTCCTGACGGACCTCACTCCAGACATCAGACTGAACTCCCTGCTTCTTCTCTTGAGGCGCAGTATTTATTATGTATGGAATAGTCCATTATGTTATTATGGGTAAGGTCCCATAACATATATATATATATATATATATATATATATATATATATATATATATATATATATATTGATTTCCTAACATTTTATTTTTTTAAATATAAAAATTCATGAACGCTATATTATTTTTAAAAAAATGAAAAAATAAGTGCACGACGTAAGGTGTGGTAGAAGGTGAGGAGGACGAGAAGGAGAGGAAAATCAAGTCTATTGGAAATGTATCGGTGGGGGAATTAAATGAAATATACATATGTTCGTTTTATCCCATTTCAGATAAACTCAAACTGTTGCTATGACTTCTAAATATGTGTGCGTGTGTAGAGGTGTCTTTTTGCGTGTCTAATTAAATGATGTATCTTTAATATTGATCACTCCTTATTGCTTAGATATAGCATATTTCAATCAGTACATCTCTCTCGATACATACATACATACATACATACATACATACATATATATATATATATATATATATATATATATATATATATATATATGTATGTATGTATATATATATATATATATAGTAAATGTTGGTGAGTAGATAAATATACTAAACAGAGTTATGGATGATAGATGTTGATAAAAGTCAGTAGGGTTAATAAGTAAATATTACAGTCATGTAATTGGCGTGTCTCGCAACTGGATTTTCGTACGATTTGAATTATGGATAACGATTTAAAAATTCTTAGAATGCAATTTTGTTGGTTTTTAACTATTATCTCTCGCCTTAAAACTATATTATGTCATATATATATATATATATATATATATATATATATATATATATATATATATGTGTGTGTGTGTGTGTGTGTGTGTGTGTGTGTGTGTGTGTGTATTTAGGCATCCAACTTTCTTTCATGCACATTTCATTAAATACGACAGAAAAAGGTGCTTTGATTTAGTTTCTTATTCAATTTTTCATGCGATCTAATATTTTTTCTTTTCGGATAATAAATTATATAAAAAACTGTTTGTACGTTCTTTTAATCCGACCGCTTTCGGCTATACATTTAGCCATTTTCAAGGTTGAAATATATTAACTGTTAATAAGAAATAGTTTCTTGCATGTATGTATTTATATAATGTTTTCGTTTTTCAATACGCGGTCAAGACATGTTCATAGTTGATATTATTCAGCGTTGTTTTTTTTTTATTAACTTATTTAGCAGTTAAAATATTTAATCCTTGAAAATGGCTAAATGTATAGCCGAAAGCGCTCTGGGAAAAAAAAACATCTGAACAGTTTTAATATAATTTATCATCTGTAAAGAAAAAATTATTAGATCACATGAGAAATTGTATAAAAAACTCAATCAAAGCACCATCTCTGTTGTATTCAATGAAATGTGCATATATATATATATATATATATATATATATATATATATATATATATATATATATGATATGATATAATACACGCACACACACACGCACGCACACACACGCACACGTACACACACACACACATATATATATATATAAAAAAATAATGGATTTTTTATTCATTAATTATAATTTTTTATTTATTAATCCGACAGAATTTTTATAACTTTAATCGTTATTTTTAGTGAATAATCATATTTGAGTAGACGCTCCGTTTATTTATTAAACATATATATATATGCGTGTGTGTGTGTGTGTTTGTGTGTATTATATCATATACCCATACATATGTATATATATATATATATATATATATATATATATATATATATATGGGTATATGATATAATACACACACACACACACAAACACACACACACACACACATATATATATATATATATAAAATGAAATTTTTTTTAATTAATTATAATTTTCTACTTATTAATCCGGCAGAATTTTTATAATTTTAAATGTTATTTTTAGTGGATAATCATATTTGAGTAGACGTTCCGTCTATTTATTAAACAGTATATTTATTTTCGTCTACTGGCCTGAATATTCGAGAATTCTTATTAAAAAAAAATGAAACCTTCCGACAGAATTCGAAACTACGTCCCTCTTGTCAGGAGAAACTGTCTTTATATCCGACGTGCTTTAGACCTACTCGGCTACGAAGGGCGTTACTGATCAGGGATGACTGAATAGTGCTCTTGAAGCGAAATTCATCTCGTCTCAGATTCTCGAAAGTTCATTCCTGCTCAGTTTCGTATCCAAATATAAACGTAACAACTTCGAAAGAAGTAACGGATTTTTTTATTTATTTATTTATTAATCCAGCAGATTATCAGTTTAAAATTATTCTTATTGGATACCCATATTTGTGTAGACGCTTTGTTTATTTTAAATAGTCTATTTAGTTTCACCTACCGGCCTCAATCTCACCAGCTGTGCGGCTTCACCTTCTTTGGGTACAAAACAGTTTTACGTTTTCCCGGGTCCTTTCTAGCTTCACAATGTCGTGAGTCATTATGCCGCTCTCCTTGAAGTAATTCTGTCTTATAAAAATAGGTTTGCTCTTGTATGTCTTCTTATAGACCCCGATCTATTGATCCCACGTATTAGCTTCTGTGTCGATGATTTAGAGATCTAGTCATATCGACTACTTTTTTAAAGGCATATTCTTTGATAGTCTCGGGAAGGCATCTCAAAGATGAGGACAAATAGTCCGAATGTAAATAGTGTAAATAATGATAACAGCTCATCCTAGAAATCCAGACAGAAACTCTTCTTTGTTTCAAACGAAATTTTCCTGTTTCTTAATATTTTGTTTACGTTTTGAAAAGGTATCTTATTTTGCTATTCCATTGCGCCTTCGGATTTCAGTGTCACTTTTACCGTCGTCTATTGTAACACGTCCCAGATATTTAAAGTTCTGTACTGTTTTAATTATGACATCTTCAATTGATAGCTCGTATCTTAGGCCGTTTCTCTTTCTGTTAACAATGTAATGGTAAGTGAAACTTGTGAATCGAGTCCAAATGTCGGCCTAGAGCCCGCCGCATTAACTTCCTCCGCCCTTGAGAACGACATAAAGCTTTCTCTTCTTCCCTTTATTTGGTTAGGAATCAACAGCCTGGTCAGTTCTGTTCTGTAAACTTGGGTAGCACTTAGTCTTGACAGAAAACTTTTGAATTCGGGCCGTTTGGTTTGACACGTGCCGTTAAGCGCGCGAAGGACATTCCTTGCATCTGACATTGATCTGCGTTTGATAATTGATATAATGGAATATGCGTACACCTGTGTTCCCCCTCACGAATTGGCTGGTGTCCGTCATAAATACCGACGGACGTGTAGGAGAGTCAAGAGAGCCTTAGTCTGAGAGCTAAGTCTATAACGACGCCCATTGGACTACGCCATTGATCTACACTTCTTACCTGCGACTACGACGCGTACCAGTCGATTACTGCTACCATATTCTACCACTTAGCTACTTCGTTCAAATATATCCCTTTCGGGGACATATCAGTTTATATATCAGCTATCATGAAATCCCACCTTTCCTATACATCCCGTCAAAATGTGTGTGGGGTTGTGCAATCCGTTGCTCACCGAGAAAGATTTTCTCACGCAGTAGCTGTTCCTTAATGGAACTACCATCAATCTTTGGGATGGATAGCCGTTATACAGAGCGTTCCCCCCACCCAAACATTGACATCGTTTAAAATGTGAATATCCGAGTAACTACATGTCCCAGAAAAACGAAATTAAATAGGATTCATGTTGAACAATAAAAGATTAATTTATCAAATTTGAACATGCAATTTAAAGGGATGTAGATTTTATCACCGATTTCACAAATGTTCAATATGCGCACCAACTGTAACACGATACACGTCAAGTTGGTAGTCCAGCTCCTGTCAAACACGCTGTAGCATGCCTTGTGTAACATTCCCCAGCGCCTCAGTGATTCTCTGTTTAAGTTCCTTTGGGGAAGTAGGAATATGGGGGGATATAGACCTGTCCTTTCACATGACCCCATAGAAAAAAAATTCACGAGGTGTTAAGTCAGGTGAACGTTCTGGCCATTTGAACAGCACATTATT